AAATTTCTTAACTTTACGAGTAGATGGCTGGGAAGCGCTTTCTCCGAAAATATATATGCAATTTTATTAATATTTCGTATAATTTTAAAATCGGCCTATTAGTGGCTTGGGAACCATTGCTGATCTTCTACGGAGGATTATTAAAATTGGACAGCTTTCCGTAGAGTTTCTTGAGATTTCAAGCATTACCCAACTTGACGTACTATAAAACAAATAAAAAAAAAAACTTCGTTTAGTGCTCAGATCTGCACTATATTCGTAGCTCTTTCGTCATTGGTCTGGGACATGTCGGAGTACCAAACCAAAGCGGATCAGTGCGTGTCTCATCAAAGGTTATGCACAGTTCCTCAACGCATTTCTCTCGCATATTTTGTCGTCAATTGGGTCTTCCTGTCGAAGGTGCGAGTCCCTACCTTGATTATGTAACTGTGGGTCATATCGTGGTATAATAATACACATTTTATGAAGAGGTTTAATTTTAGATATATTTACTAATAAGCGAACTGAAGTCTTAGGCTTGAACTTACATCGACGTAGAGAAGAACATAGATCAGAACATCGCAACACCAAAAAGGATGCTTCAAGTGCATATATTCTTGATCAACGTGAAATTCTGAATCGAGTAAGCCATGCTGCTGCTCGTCTGCATATCTGCGTTTTATGTGTCGTTGACATTCCCCTGATCGCAGCAATGGAGATATCGTTTTCAATTTTGGTAAAAAACATTGGAAGTTTTTACACACATGTTATTGTGCGTTGAAAAAAAAAACAAAAGCATGGGACGCTACATGGAGTGCGAGATACGAATTTCCTTATTTTTTAGTTTTAGAGTACTAAGTACTAAGTAGGCTACAAGTCTAATTAACTGTGTATTAGAAATAGCTACTAAAAAGCATGGTCTGCATTATAGAAATTCGAACCCGTAAACATCGACTCCCGAGTCTTCTATTCTCGATTACGTTCTTGCTCTAGCTATGTAAACATAACCTAAGTTTTTAAAAACATTATTCTAGAAGGGGAAGTTTCTGGCCTATTTAAAAACATTATCTTTAAAAGAAATTCTAGGATGTGCCTGACAAGTCGATGAATTCCAAAAAATAGTAGAAACCCTACAAATAACCCAATAATAATAAAATTCTATTTTTCGCAAATCGTAAATTCAAAACAGAAGAACACAAAAGCAACCATTTTTTTTTTTTTTTTTTTTTTGTAACTTCTGCATGAGAAAGCGAGTTAACCGATTTAATTAACGGAATATCAATGTTTCGAAATTAAACAATAATAATAATACATGTATTTGCACAGATGTGTGTAGATATATGTACACATATAACAATGCATGACATTTTAAACGCAATGTCAATAAGTTTTGTACAATAACAATAACAGTAAACAGCACAGATACAAATAGATGTATTTATGCATACATAACATATATATATATATATATATAAGCACTGCATGGATGCGTATAAACAAAAAAAAAAAAGTCTGCTGGAATCGTTAATAGACCAGTATTTTGACACTTGTACATGTATATGTTTGTTTTTGTGTATACATAGAAGTGTTTATATACATATATATATATATATATATGTTAATGTAATGTAAAATTTTGTTATTTGCTTCGGCCCACTTGCTGTCAAACATTTCAAATTGCAACAAAACATAAACACACCAAAAAAAAAAAAAAAAAGAAAATTAATAAAATAGATTCTACTCTACGATGGTTTATAACACAAATATACACACACACACACACACAAACACAAATATAAAAACACAAATGCAAGTATAAACATACTTGTGTATATGCAATATTTTCAGATTCTATGTTAGCTGAGATAAACATGGCAGACAAACAGGCGGACATCGAGTAATAAATGAACAGACTTAACGACAAACCGACAGATTAGTAGTAGAAAAAAAAAAAAAGAAAAAAAAAACCGGAAAAAAAGAAACACTCGCTAGACATAAAGTCTTGTTTAGCTATTTTAACATAATGCAATTGATTACATACATAGCAAAATATATTAACTCAACAATATATGTATGGTTCAAAAAAAACAAAAAAGTAAAATATTCTGCAGTATAGCGTACGAATGACAACCAAGCCAACCAAGCGTACAACCACAAAAATCTGAAAATGTCAAAAGTTGTAACACTTTAAATGTGTTTGAGGTTTGCAGACAGACAGACGGACAGATAAACATATAGCACGTACCGTTTGAACATTTTTAGTAGACCAGCTGCTTGCTAGCTTTTTCCAGTTCGTATTTTGTTTTTTCTTTCTGATTTTTTTTTTTTTTTTTTCTTTTGCAAAATTTTTTTCTCCCAAATTATAGTCAAATCTACTTAGGCGTTAATTTATCGTATTATTGTGATTATTATGGTAAAACATTAACAACTCAAATAAAAAAAGGCAATCAAAAAATTATATTTGTTTTAAAACGAATTTTTGTCTACTTACTTATGCTCCACAATTAAGCAAAGTACATTCAAACGATAAATTTCCTAAAAATATGCAACATTCGCATGGGTAGCCGGGTAGCATGAATAGATAAGAATCGCTATCAAGTCAGTGTTTGTAGATTTCAAATCTCAGTGCGGTATAATACGTTTTACGGTCGTAGCTTTAGTAAGTACTCAGTCAGTGAATGCACACAAACGTTACCTGTTGGGCATGCGCCTACTGCGGCTGCATTCACTTCCTATCTCGTCGTCTTTCCACACATTTTCAAAGACCGTCACCGTGTTGCACGCATAAGAGGCAAACCATATTTATATTCTACAGTACAAACAAGCACAATGTGCTATGTAAGCGTGGGATCATTATTTTTTATACCATTCAGGCAACAATGTCTTAACACAAGCTAAGGGGATGGTTTCCGTTTCAAGACCTTGCGCTTGTATGATCTTCGACAGAGCTTAACTCAATAACATATCAACGTAGCTCGACTTTTGATAATAATAAAGTTCTATGCAGAAATATCTATTTGATTATAAGCGTATCTTGCTGGCGAAAAAATTTAAAGAAAATTTTATTTGTTGCAAACTCCTACACTGTGCTCGTACCGATGAAAAAAGATTTTCGCGAGTCTTTTAAATTAATGAAATCCTATTTGGTTTTTACGCACTTAATATTGAGTTGTAACCTAAAAAGCAAGACAACCGGTTAAGCTCTTTGACAGAGCCCGAAGAAAAAATAGAAGAAATTTAAACGTCATGTTTTAAAACTCGTTTACATAACCGATAACTCGCAAATTGTTTTATAACGAAATTAATATTGAAGAGTTCTTTCAGATGAGATGCAAAATCACAAGAACTATGAGAGGAAATCATGTCATTTTCCAGTCATATTACTAGTGACCGTTCATAACGCCCGCATACGGCTGTTAGATCGAATTAAGATTAACATAAGCCAATATTTCAAGGAGTTTTTCGGCCCAATTTCTAATCAGCTCTGAACTCTTACGCTTGTACTTTGTCACTGCCTGCTTTAGCAGGCTTAGCAAGAACCCTAAACGAGCTGTACAACTGCCATGTTTCTTATCTCGATTGTAAAATATCCACAAATCAGCGAAATTCAAGGCGCTGCAGTACGCTCCTAATGGAGTAAGCAACACATTTTAAGATTAAAAACTTCAAACTTTGACATTATAGTGACGAATATTGGTCAGAAGCGGCGGTAAACTTCTAAGTAAACAATTCAAATAAACAATTTTCTGTTCAAAGTAAACTGTACTTATAACAGTCTTATGCATAAAATGCCAACAAGCGCACGTATGTTAAGTCTAATAGCGAATACCTTCGGTTAGAAGAGACAGCAAAGATATAAAGCACTATCAAGCGAACTATCAAGTCTATAGGTTAAACTGACGCCAACGATCAGGAGTAAGGGCAAGGTTTAAAGTAAACAGTTCCCAGCGCAAAGTAAGCCGGTTTTATAATATTTTTAGGCTTACACTGTCAGCAAGTAGCTGTGTACAAAGCTACTACAAGATATAGTCTACAATCATGAGATTCAAACCCAGACTTGGCAGTGGTGAGTCTAATCCCTTCGTATATGCGATTTCTAGGTTAACCTAAACCTTGAGGATAACTATTATTTATCACGAGTACATATTCGGATGGAACGATTGCCAAAAGTGAAAGATATGTTTGACGCGCATTTTTTTGAGGTTATCGCGAAGATGTTCATGTAAAAGCTCGTAGAAGGATGCGTTAGATATCTACGCATAAGATATCCAAGTTGCAACTTTACACCTAATACATATGAGCTGAGAGAAGTAAAAAGAATAGATTTGATCATGAACTTCTTACATCAAGCATAATAACTGGATTGTGACATTTTCTCTCTCCCGTGCGCCTACAGACAGACAAGCATATAATTGCATATATTTTGAGAATTCCAACAACAAACTGAATATTTATTCACAACTTGTAGAATTTCTTGCAGCTTACTATGATATTCGACGCACATAAGCATTGACAAGCTTAACATGCACGCGCTGTAGGTATAGCGAACAGAAATTAAAGTTTTAATAAAATCAGTTTTCTTAAATCGCAAAACAGATCGAAAAAAATCATAAAATGTATTAAAACTCTACCCAAATATTTTCATATGAATGCTAATACGCAAAGCATTAGTTACATTATCTTACTCTTATATATATATATATATATATATTTACACAGATATTTTAACAAGTGTCTTAAAGATTAATTTTTCAACATTTGACATTTTAATCGAATTTTCAAATTTGAAAATAAGAAAAAAAATAAAAAAAAATATTGAATTCTATTTGACACTAATTCAATGATTTCAAGTGAACGCACACATACATACATATACATACATACATAGGCGCATGCATTGCAGGTAGATTAAAATAAATTCATAATCGAAAGTTTGTCTATAAACAGGACTTAAAAACTTAAAAGTCGTCACAGTTTTTCTTGCATTTTAATTGTAAATGTCTTTCTTCTCTTTGTTGCAGACAACTTGACATCAAAGAGTGCGAGGATGATGATAAAGATGATTTACATAATTTTATACCGCCCACCAATTATATAAAAATTTCTCAAGGTAAAATACAACTAGTACATCAATCTGCTTTATCAGCCGCTACCGCCGCCGCCACCACCATCACAACCACTACAAACACAACAACATTGCAACCTACACAACCATCACCACCATCATTGCCAACATTACAAAACGTTGCCGATAGCAATAAGGATAAGGTGAGTTTATCTATTAAAAAGATTTAAAAAACTTTTCATTAATATATACACACATAACCATTTTTACATATATATATATATATATATATATATATATATACATAATCATATACATATGTATATATCTAATACATAATATATTACATTTAGAAATGGTTTAATGTTCTATCATTTGTACACATACGTATATATACATATACCCTATATACATATTAGCCATTATAACATAATAAAGTACTTGCGCGTAAGTGCTTATAATACAGTAGAGTACTTTCTTAATTCCCTCAATTCTATCCTCTCACACAATATGGTTAAGGTATACTCCGTCTCGTATATAGCATAGTTTTATGCCCCATAAAATATACTTTGAATTATTTACATTTAAATGCTTATGAAAATGAAATGCTTTCAAAACTTGGCAAAAGAATCTCTTATGTTCTGATTCAAATCAAAAATTGCTTTAATAAGCCTGCAGTTTGTGTAGCTTTTGTTCATTCATTCTAGCATGTTGATGATGTAAAATCCCCTTCACTCTCCTTGCAATCACTCTTATCTTGTAAAGAAATATTTATATCGTTTCTTGCATATTTTGTAGTTCGTAAATTTTTAAATAGTTGTGAAGAAAATATCATTCTTTTGAAAGACTTTCTCTCTAATTCTATTAATTTGATAAAAAGCAAAGTATTTCTCCTCTTCACGGCATAACACATTCCGCTTCTGTAGATATTGTGGGGTAAGAAAGCATACTTTTGGGCTTTCGATGCTTTTCGATTTTATAACTATTTTGGCAAGTGAGAATAATGATGCATGAGACAAAGTCTTTGTGCGACTAAGCACTTCTCATACTAATGTGTCGTCATTTCTTCCCTGTCGACTTCTCTTTTCTAAAACTCTCCTACAATACATGCTATTAGAGTAGGCGTTTCTCGTTCCTCTATAATCTCGGTTCGATGTTTTTTTTTTCTTTTTTTTTTTTTATTTTGTGCAATAATGTTCACGTTCCTAGCCTTAGTCTTGTCGTTAAGATTTTGCCCAGAATTTTCCGTCACCGGCAATCACTTTATGTGAAATTTTGCGAACATAGTTTTACGCAGTTAAACCAATTTCTTCTGTCGACCACATTGCCAGCACAGAGTGCAGAGTGCGCGAAGACTTAAGATCAGCCCATCAAGTAAGAAAGTTTCGTCCACTGTTCTGTCTTCATTAATATTTTTGCACCTGAATTTCTTAAGTGTAACCGGCTATTGAGTGTCTGCTGGACAAAAAGATTAACCGCTCCATTGTTACCGAACTAAATGGCTTTACAACGGCAAACGGATCTATACGATACAAGGTTCAATCATCTGACTGAAATTTTTCTGTCAGGCCTCGTCATTTTTTGTTATTTTTAACATTTTGTTAAACAACACTGACAGCCACAATTATTAATACAAATTTTCTATGGTGATAGTCTTATATATTAAATGAAATTAAAAAATTACTTATCTTACACAAAGGGCAATACATTATTTTCGGGAAAGCCCATCCATTAGATACCGTATACTAATGTGATTCTTAAGCAAAGTTTTTTCCATTAGGCAAGAGAGCATGCTACTTCCCCACCATTATGTAGGATGGGAGCCGAAACATAAGTCAAACTTAGCAAAACTGATTTCTTGTCAAAGATCTTATTCACTTTTCTTCGTCATAATAAAAATTAGTCCTTGTTACCATATAGAAGCTTACCTTCCGTGAAATTCTTTTTACATTGTAAGCTGTAGCACATAGACTTATATGATCCAAATTTAGCATAATTAATAATTTGAAAAAGTTTTTGCCATACAAAGGCCTATTACTTTTAAGAATGGCATGAAATGGTATGGAAGGCTGGGCGAATTTTTTACACCTAGTCAGAATTTTAAAACACTACCGCTTAGCAGCAATTCAAGAGCAATTTCAATCAGAAATAGGTTATCGAACACTTTCACGCACGCTTGGAGCCTTTTTTGTCTCTAATACTCAGACCAATATTATTAGCTGTCGTTAATAGTATTCCGCTGCAATGGTTTTATTGCGTTAGAACCGCTCATAACAGTACTAAAAATGGTTCGAATCGGACTACTTTTTCGATCACTTTCCATGTAACGTCTTATTTGGCAACACCTGTATGTGAATAACTGTAAGGCGATGTAAGATCTCTGATGGTGAACTGCGACCCTTTATAATGCTCTTAATTGCTTTTGCTTTTTTTTTTTTAAAAAAAAGAGAAGCAACACTTGCAGGACGTTGCACGTAGAGGCTCGTTTTTAAAAGAGGCGTCCTCCGTTCAGAGATTTCCGACTGTAATTCGGCATTATGCCTAAGGCATCATGCTTTCATTAGAAAGAAAACAGAAAAAGGTCATAGATAATTATGCTTAAATGAAACTTACTCTAAATGGAAAAATCTCTTAATACATTTGCTGCAAACTGTTATGTGATAAATGAACATCTGTACGGTGAACAACATTTTCACTCCAATTTAGCAGATCAACGGCGACAAAAGAAGAAAGTATCGCTTGATATGAAGATGGAGACTGCTCGTGCTTGACATATATCGGACATTATTTTCATTAATATATATCTATGTATATGTCTGTATATATGAAGACATCACGTTTTAAAGTAACATAAATTGGCTTTGATTTCTTCGTTGCAATAAAATATACTTGCAATGCAATAGCAATGCAAGCACTTAACATTAACATTTTAAACAACTTCTTCGTTAGTTGTTTAAACGTAATAAATATTAAATTTTAGTTTTACTGTCACCATGTCAGGTCTTAAATAATAAACTCTTTGAACAGTTTGATGGGCAAAATAGAATAACTTCACGTTTCGTTCGTTCTTAGTGCTTTTTCTTTGTCTTTTTCCTTCTTTTTTTTTTTTTTTTTCTTCACTTTTCTTCCTTCTTTATATATGTGTGTGTATTTATCAGAAATCCTAGACATGTTTCATGTTTCGTAACTTTTGTCGGTTCCTAGCAAACAGGAATTTTCTATAAAATGATTGTCATCTTAAACATGTCAACATATGGAAAAAGTATATTTAACTTTAGCTTAAACAAAAGAGCCGCCAATAACAATCATTTCCAATATTGATAGGAATACAAAGAGAAAATCAATATTCTTCTGTGAATAAGAAAACCTCATTTAATTTCCTACTGAACTGGACTAACAAATGACGAGCAAATTTAATTCAGTTCATTATATTTCTTCTTTAATTTTATACCATTTTTTCCGAAACACTTGTTAAAATGAAAAAAAAAATATATAGAATTTTTTTTCTTGTAAAAATACTTGATTTTTAAAATGCATTTTTCTTTTACCTTCTTTGTAATTCCAACTCGCTCGCTCGCTCTCTCTCTCTCTCTTTCTTTCTCTCTCCCTATCTGTATCTCTGTCCTGTACATAACAACGGCGGATAAAATTACGTACAAAGCTATCATCAATGGGACAAAGGCATACTTGGTGCAAACATAGTCCCATGGATGCCTACACAAACTCTTTGTTAAAATAACACTCACGTAATTGAGAATTTGTTACTAAAGCTGAAAACTTGTAAAAAAATTACAAGAAAAAAAAAAAAATATATATATATACGTGCATATAAACACACACACTCACACACCTATATAAGAAAAAAGAAAATAAAACGTAAAAAACAAAAGAAAAGCATATGACAAGTGCATTAACTTACATACACACACGCGAGGATTAATGCCTGCATTCATCTATAATACGTTTGCCTTCTTTCCGTTGAAATTAAATCTCGTTTGAGTATATTTATGTCTGAAAAAATTTTTTTTTTCAAGATTTTTTTCTTTAATATTTACTCTACCAATTGTTGTTGTTTTTGCTGATTTTTCTTTTCTGTTGCCTTTTTCATTCATTCATTCATTCATTCGTTCATTCATTCATTCATTCGAATATTTACGGGCAAGGTAATGATAGCAGAATAAGAATTACATAAAAGATACATAACTCTTACCCCCAACTAACCATTCGCACGTGAATGTGTGAATGTGCAGGAACATATCGGCAACTACTTTTGATCTTGAATGAATATCGGCCCTTTTAGTGAAGTGGCTTACATCTCAATGACAACCATCAAGTGGCAAATTTATTCTTATTGAAAATCACTTATTAAGCGTAAACGTGAAAAAAAAAGTAGAAGAAATCCTCACGCTTCCATGCAACGTGTAACAATCATGCGATTGTTTGCCGCAGCCATGAGAATGTTGACCTACTGATTAGTATGTAAGAGCTACAAGTCCTAATTTTTGAAAATTTGTTCATCAGAAGGTGGAAGAAAATTTCATCATGTTTAAGAACAAATAAAAGTGTGATTAAATGGACTTACGACTAAGAGTGGGCATCAAAACATCTAAAACAGGAGCAGTTGGAGCAGAACTAAGCTGCTTTCCTTGAAAGCATATCTGCTCTTCAAATAAACGGAGAGGAAGAGCTCTCGATTTAAGAAGATGTCTCCCAGTAGCACCGTCTAACCCTTAAAGCGCTGTAGCGCTGCAGTAAGATAACCGCAACTTTAAGCGAAAATATGTTTCGCAAACGATTTAAAGTACACCGGACACAAGGGTTCGCCTTTAAGTCTTATATCTGCTTGAGTAGGCGAGCGGTAGACTTTACTTTAATCAACTCTCAGTCGATAAGGAAATAACTGTCGCCGATTGGGCACATACCCACTAGGCTGCGATCTACGGCTTCCTATCTCTTTCCTTTATCCGTCACCATGTTAGACGAATATGGGACACTCCCCAAGTTATTGGTCATTTTAATCCAACACGCACCGCACCGATCGTCCCTATCAATGCGCATTTAAAAGTCTTCAACTTTTCTCTTAATTCAATTCTCTTAGTTCAATTTACGGACCTATTTTTACTGAAACCCGTCAATTTGGCGAGTAAGTTTTGTGGATCGTCCCAATCGTGAAAACAAAGAATGAAAGGAAAATCTGAAAAAA